GAAACTAAATCGTGATTTTAATAAATAGACGCTTTATTTATGTAAAGCATTCTGGCATTATTAAATTGTAAAATATTATAATGTTTTAAGACCAAACACTCTTTTTAGTTATATATTAGAATAATAATATGTCAGTATATTAAATGCAAAAAAGTATTTTATTAAAACTATGCTACAAGATTATAAATATACAAATAATACAATGTTTTTTTAATATGTTATAGAAAAAACTATAATGCTGTAATACAAACTGTACCATAATTCTAATAACACCATCGATTAAAGATAACAAAACTGTTCTCGTAGTTTTAATGGAAAGGAGATTAGTAAAGGAGAGATATTATTAATATGCGCTAAAAGTAGTTTTTAATGATAAAAATATTACAAAATAAACAAATTCTTTATTATTAAATTATTATAATGAGAGGTTTAAAATTGTTTTTATAAATGTGTTTATTTTATATACTTATAAATAAGTTTTAACAAATTAAAATACAATTCTCATATTTGCAGCATATTTATTAAATCAAAAAAATAAGAGTGGAAAAAGTACATACAAGAGCGTATATATATCTATTTATTTAAGGTAAATTATATTGTGTGTGTATTATAAATGTGTATTAATAATTATACGAGTGATATTCAATTTTTACATTTATTTGTATTTATTCAGCTTGTTCTGTTACTGCTTCTGTTACTGCTTCGTCTTCTGTATCTGGGTCTAAGTCATGTTCATTATGTTGCTCTAATTTATGTATAGCTTTTGCGATGCACACGTTCAGAGACCAACCTTTCTCACATTCTTGAGTAATACTGTTCGCTATATTTATAAAAATTAAAAAAATATAATTAAATAATACTGAAATATATATATAACATATTCTATGAGATTATTTATTCTAATAGCAAATGTATTGTTTCAAAACTTGCATACTGCACATGGAAAAAGTGTACATAATACATATTTTTGTAATACTTTATTTCTTAGTAACTGTAGTGTCGTACTACTTATATATTTGTAATAATTATAATATAATAAGATATAATTTACCTTTTTTTATGCATTTATGCGCAATTTTGTGTGCTATGGCTAGTTCAGGACCATCATTCATTTTTTCATTTAATTTTGCATAAACTTGAGCTTCATTAATGTTTGTTCCTTCCATCTAATATTATTAAAGAAAAATTATAAATAGTAGGAAATAGTAGAATATAACTTATAATTATTTCGTGCATTTAAAAAATTATACAATTTAAAATATATTAATTATGAATTAAACAGCACAATATATTTTTATTAAGAACATATAATAATATCACTTTGTGTATGGTTGTTAAGTACAGATACGTTTTTTTATTAATAATTATTGCATTATTAAATTACTAAATCTTTAATAATTAGAAGTTTTATTATTTATTGTGACAGGTTATTATTGCATTATTGGACATTATGTATAAAATATGTAACATATTTGTAAACACTTACTAAATTTAGTTTCTTGAAGATACACGCAATCCAGCAGCCATTTTTTCTTGTTCTCTCTGCATTTTCAGGTTTCACATGTAAGTTATTTATTATGTCTTCTTCGTTGTAGGCATCATCTATAAAATAAAATAAAATAGATCAACGTACAGGAAAACGCTTTTACAGCCAAAAATTGTTTTTACAAAAAAGTTAACTCAATTAAAATATTAAAAAATTGTAAGTAAGACAAATGCCCAATTAAATCAGTTAAAACAGAATTAATTTAGAACTGATCAAAAGAAGAAATGAAAATAGAAAGTTGGCAATGATGTGTGTCGTTATAACTTACCTCTAGTCATATCATTTTCAGTCAAGCAAGCTTCAAGATCATTGTTTACGTTTGATCCAAGTGCACTTTTAAGCTGGTTTTTTATTTCTGATGAGCTTGATAACTGAAACTTATAAAAAATGTTTTTATTTTATTTACTCTATATCTTT